GGAAGAAAGGAAGGACAATGGAAGGAGGGAGGGAGGGAAGGAAGGAACGAGGAAGGAAGGAGGGAGGGAGGACAATGGGAGGGAGGGAAGGAAGGACAATGGGAGGGAAGGACAATGGGAAGGGAGGACAATAGGAAGGAAAGGTAGGCAGGTAGGTAGGTAAAATAACCACACCTGGATTCTGTTTGTCTAAGAAAAGACAAAGGAAAATTCAGACAAACTTTCACGCTTCTGTTATTATAACCAGCAACATTAATGTGGCCTGAACTTCAGCTCCCAGAATCCCCCAGCCAGCAAAGAATGCTGGGAGTTGTCCACACACCTCTTAGAGTTGCTATGGTTGAAAAACACGGGCTGTCCTTCCTGATGTGGCTCAACTTCCTAATATTATTTATTTATTCAACATTTCAATGTTTAAAAACAGTTTCCACTCTTTACAACGATTCTGTAAGTGTTCACACTGATTAACAAAGTCTATAACTATATCGATTACTTCTCCATTCTGTTTACTTATACTGTTATTTCCCAATTTAACTTATAACACTATTAACATATATGTGTGTGTGTGTGTATGTGTGTATGTGTATGTATGTATGTGTGTGTGTGTGTATATATATATATATATATATATATATATATATATATATATAAAACATTAAATAACAACTTCCATGGGTGACCCATTCATGGGATGCAGCCTTGTGAGTCATCTTAACTACAGCATTTGGACCATTTCTGAGCCACTCCCGAGAGCGGAAGAAGACTGATGTACTCTGCTTTTATTTTTAATTAAAATTAAAACAAGGAAGCGGAGGAGATCCATTTAACTTTTTGTGGAAGGAATTAACGTCTCTGGAGCCGGCTGCATTTAGCTGACCTGGCTTGATTCCTAAAGAGCTCAGCAAATCAAACCTGATTAGCCTTCAGTTGGCATCTTCCAGTTAGGCACAAAGGCTGCAGGCGAGGCTGAGATGTTGAAAAGGGAGAAAAAGAAATGCCAGATGAAAGAAGGGATAAAGCTGTTCTGCACGGCTGCCAAGACCAAGTCGTCGAGGGTGGCAATTAAAAGGGGGCGAATTAAAAAGAAATTCACCTGGATCCAGCTGGGGCACAGCTAATATTTCCAAGAAAGCAAAAGTCCCTTTTAAAAGGGGAAATGGAATTGACACAGTTCCAGGCCTCTGAACATTACAGATTACAGATAATCAGAGTTGGAAGGGACCTTGTAGGTCATCTAGCCCAACCCCTCTGCTCAAGCACCATTTCTGACAGAGGGCAGTGAAAGCCCTCTTGAAAGCTTCCAGGGATGAAGCTCCCACAACTTCCAAAGGCAACTTCTGTTCTATCAGTTGATTGTTCTCACTGTCAGAAAATTCCTCCTTATTTCCAGGTTGAATCTCTCCTTGGTCAGTTTCCATCCATTGTTCCTTTTCTGGCCTTTGGGTGCATTGGAAAATAGCTTGACCCCCTTCCTCCTCTCTTTGGCAGCCCCTCAAATACTGGAAGGCTGCTCTCCTGTCCCCCCTGGTCCTTCTCTTCCCTAGACCAGCCAGGCCCAGTTCCTGCAACCATTCATCATATGTTTTAGTCTCCAGGCCAATGATAATCTTACATAGATTAAGATTAACTGAGTTGGAAGGGACCTTGTAGGTCATCTAGTCCAACCCTCCACCCAAGCAGGAGACCGTACACCATTTCTGACAGATGGCAGTCCAATTCTTCTTCTTGAAAGCCTCCAGGGATGAAGCTCCCACAACTTCCAAAGGCAACTTCTGTTCCATGAGTTGATTGTTCTCACGGTCAGAAAATTTCTCCTTATTTTCAGGTTGAATCTCTCCTTGGTCAGTTTCCATCCATTATTATTCCTTGTCTGGCCTTCGGGTGCCTTGGAAAACAGCTTGACCCCCTCTTCTCTGTCATCTTCAACTTACGACCACAACATGACAAGTCGTCCTTGACTTATGACCGCAACTGAGACCAAAATTTCTGTGGCTAAGTTGAGATTGTTGTTAAGAGAATTTTGCCACATTTTTAGCACCTCTTTTCCCACTGTTGTTAAGGGAAGCACCACGGTTGTTAAAGCCAGCAACGTGCTTGTTAAGTGATTCTGGCTTCCCCGTTGAATTTGCTCATCGGAAGGTGGCGAAAGGGGATCCCGTGACCCCCCGTCATAAGTGGCCAAGCATCTGAATTTTTATCACGTGACCAAGGGGATGTTGCAAGGGTTGTTAAGTGTGAAAAATCACTTTTTTTCAATGCCGTTGTAACTTTGAACGGTTGCTAAAAGGAATGATTTTAATTTGAGGACTATCCTTATTCTGGATGGATGGATGGATGGATGGATGGATGGAAGGAAGGAAGGAAGGAAGGAAGGAAGGAAGGAAAATGAAATTTTGAGCTCAATTGTGGCTTTATTGCTCAGGGTCGTTGAATGTTCCTTCCTGTTTGCTAGCGTCACATCGAAGCATTTTGCTAGAACGGTAAACTCACCGACATTTTCATTTTTTTCTTCTTCTAGACTTCGAATCCAATCGATGTGGCCAGCAGGCCTAGCACGGTGCACCACACGCTTCTGCAGAAGACACCAGGGGTAAGTACCAAGTCCAGTGAGGTTCTTTCAGGAAAATTATAGATATAGTTTTTAAACAGATCTGTATCCGGAGTTACGGGATAGACTGAAATAAAGGAATTGCACACTTTAGAATTAGAAATATTTGTTTTCTAAGTCTTGATGCAATTATGGTCTTAACGCTGAAATAAATAAGGAGCACTTTTCACGCTTGTTCCCTGGCTTGTTCCACACCCTGAATTTTTTTTAAAAAAAATCCTTTTTATAATCCAGGTTACGTAAAAGGTTGATTTTTTTCCCCCCTCATGTTTTCCCTAGGTGGCGGACGCCTATCGGGCTCCTGTACGAGTAAGTAAGGTTTGTCAGGGATTTTATTTTATTTTTTAATCTATTTTTTTTTTATTTTTTTTTAAATTGAAGGGAGGGAAAGAAATGACACATATGAAGACTCTTCAAAATGCTTTCCTTAAAAGGGTGAGGGAAGAAGATGTAATTTTAAAAATATTCAATTGCGCAGAAATAGATAGACCGACATTAAAGATAAAAGAGAAGGAAAATGCAGAATACTTTCAAATATGGGATTTGTTTTATAAATTTTTGGATAATAGAAGTAGAAATGAGGAGCTGGGAAAACTTCATTATGTAAGCAACTGACCCAGACAATACACCCACACTTCACAAAGCACATATATATATGTTAATTGAAAATGTATAAATAAACTATATACATAAAAAAAGAACGGGTGAGATTATAGATTGCAGCTAGCTGACATTTGTCAATTTCACTAAACGAACTGTTGTAAGTGGACTGTCAACTCATAAAATATTTCTATGGTCTTTTTAGAATAGAAATAGGAACAGAACAGAATAGAATAGAATATTGGAATAGAGTAGAACAGAACAGAACAGTATAGAACAGAACAGAACAGTATAGAATAGAATAGAATAGAATAGAATAGAATAGAATAGAATAGAATATAGAATATAGAATATAGAATAGAATAGAATAGAATAGAATAGAATAGAATAGAATAGAATAGAATAGAATAGAATAGAACAGAACAGAATTCTTTATTGGCCAAGTGTGATTGGACACACAAGGAATTTGTCCTGGTGCAAATGCTCTCACTGTACATAAAAGAAGGACAGAGTTACTTTTTTTTAGAGTTGCCAACTCTAAAAAAGCAAGGGAGAAAGGGGGTTTGAAAGAGCAGTGCAGCAGCTTGGAAATCAAAAGTGCATTCCATAAATAGTTTTCAAAGATAGTAACTAGGTGACCAAAGTTTCTGCCAGGCAAAATTCTAACTGGAGAACATGATGGATGGCTCTTGGCTATGGATGTGTCCCATTGGAGAATATGAATTACGATACACCCAGGGGGTGGGGGAAAACCAGGGTCAAGGGTGGCAATGAATGATGTGTCTCAGAGTCAGCTACACCCAGGCAGTGTAGGACATGTTAACTCTCAATAAATCCTTTTGAAGTTTTGGAAGTTTGGCTCGAGACTCCTGATTTAAATGGGGGTAACTGCTGGAATCCTGACATATTAGAGTATTAGGATATTAGAAATATTAAGGCAGCCTAATCTACGCATTAGGGCAGCCTTTAAATCAAACCAATGATTTCAGGTAGTCCTCGACTTACAACAGTTCATTTATTGATTGTTTGAAGTTGCAACAGCACTGAAAAAAAGCCACTTACGACTGTTTTTCACACTTACGACCGTTGCAGCATCCCCCGTGGCCATGGGGGTCAAAATTCAGACCCTTGGCAACGAATTCATATTTACAACGGTGGCCGGGATCAGGGGATCCCCTTTTGCGACCTTCTGACCAACACAATCAATGAGGAAGCCAGATTCACGTCCCCATTTTACGACCTTTCTCACCACGGTCGCTAAGCAAATCACTGCAGTTGTTAAGTGAGGAGCACCTGGCTTCCTCGTTGGACTTTGCTTGTCAGAAGGTGTTGATCCCCGGGACACTATAACCCTCATAAATACAAGTTTGTTGCCAACTCGCTGAGCAAACGTCTCACTTAGCAACGGAAGTTCTGGGATGAATTCTGGTCGTAGGTCAAGGACTACCCGTAGTCAGTTGTACAAAGGAGAGAGAGCGAGAGAGCAGTGGACACCACAGCTGCTTAAAATTAAATCTCGGTCCTTGTTTTATTACAGAAGCCCGGGAAATGGTGCGCTGTCCACGTACAGATTGCTTGGCAGATCTACCATCACCAACAGAAGATAAAGGTAATCAGGCAGATTTATTCAGAAAACCAGCGCTTTTCTCTTCTGGCTTTGAGGCTGACAATTCCCATTTTCACCACCCCTGATTTGCAAAGATGTCTTATTTTTCACACTGTTGCTTTCCCTCTGTAAAGCATGGAAATTAATTAAGCCTTTATATTTCCGAATATCAACCTAAGAAATCTTAAATGGCTGTGTTTCTCTGGTGAGGCAGGGCACCCTAGCAGCAATCCTACACAATCCAGAAGAGGAGATCGGAATACAAAATAACACAATTGGAAGGGGCCTTGGAGGTCTTCTAGCCTAACCCCCTGCTGAAGCAGGTGGACCTTATCCCACTCCAGACAAATGGCTGTCCAGTCTTTTCTTAAAAACTTCCAGTGTTGGAGCATTTACAACTTCTGGAGGGAAGTTGTTCCCCTGATGAATTGTTCTCACTGTTAGGAAATTTCTCCTTAGTTCTAAGTTGCTTCTCTCCTTGGTTACTTTCCATCCGTTGCTTCTTGTCCTTCCTTTCAGGTGCTTTGGAGAATAGCTTAACTCCTTCTTCTTTGTGGCAGCTGCTCAAATATTAGAACACTGCTATGTCTCCCCTAGTCCTTCTTTTCACCAAACTAGATATAATCCCAGTTCCTGCAACCGTTCTTCGTATGTTTAGCCTCCAGTCCCCTAATCATCTTCATTGCTCTTCTCTGCACTCTTTCTAGAGTCTCAACATCTTTTTGACATCAAGATGATCAAACCTGGATGCATTATTCCAAGGGTGGCCTTATTACCAAGGCCTTATAAAGTGGTATTAACACTTCACGTGATCTTGATTCTATCCCTCTGTTTATGCAGCCTAGAACCATGTTGGCTTTTTTTTTGGCAGCTGCTGCACACCACTGGCTCCTATTTAAGGGATTGTCCACTCGGGCAATTTTGCTTTCCTTTAAAAAGCGTGGAATTAATTAAGCCTTTCTATCTTCGAATATCTATTTTAGAAATCTTAACTGGCTGTGTCATCCTAGTAGCAATACCAATCCTACTCAATCCAGAGGAGAAGATCGGAATACAAAATAACCCAGTTGGAAGGGACCTTGAAGGTCTTCTAGTCTAACCCCCTGCTCTAGCAGAAGACCCTGTGCCATTCCAGACAAACGGCTGTCCAATCTTTTTCTTTAAAATCTCCACTGATGGAGCAGCCAGAACTTCTGGGAGCAAGCTGTTCCACTGGTGAATTGTTCTCGCTGATCAGTGATTCCTCATTAATTCTAGGTTGCATCTCTCATTAATGATCTTCCGTCTGTTATTTCTTGTCCTGCTTTAGGGACAGGAGAATAGGGGTTGACATCTTTGGGACAATAGGACATCCCCTCTTCTCTGGGACTGCCCCTCAAATATTAGGAGACGCTTGGAGATTGCCAAGAGTCCTTTTACCCTTTGGAAGAATGACAGGTTGGAGAACATAACAGAGTTGAAGCCGAGAGAAACTTTGTGGTAGCGCCTCTGAAACTGAGATATCTCTCATCAGGAGATGTTAAAGAGAACGCTTTCTGTGGTGAGGGAGAAATTCTGAGACAAACCAAGCACAAAATGGCAGAATTCAGAGTTTTGGCCCCAACCACAGAAGTCAACATCTAACACCCGGTGGTTGGTGGTTGGTTGTTGTAGAAGCCGCTTGGGAAATGGTTGGAGAACGCCCAGTTGTTTTGTGAAGAGGGTGGTTGCAGAACCACCCTGCTTCTGAGGAGGTGGATAGTCAAGAAAGTCACTTTGACAGCCTCCTCCCTATTGTAATCACCACAATCTGTGTTTTGTTCCGTGGTTCCATCCCCATTGTTTACCGCTCTAGTTGAGTAACCACAAAGCGGGGAGGGGAGAGAAGCAGAAAATTGGTCAGGTCTCCTTCCTTATTGAATTGTTCGAAGAAATATCCATCTGGTTCAGTTCCAAGTGGGGAGAAAGACACTGGAAACATGGAGGCTGATTGGGAAGATGGTTTATTGACGGACAGGACCACATGGGTTTGAAGTCCTGGGCAGCTGAACACATGGAGTTGAGAGAGAGGGGTATTTATGCCCTCTCTTGGGCCTTGTCCTTGAGCTTCCTGTTCCTGTGCAAGAAATGTATATTCTATTAGTTGTCAGACTCCCATGGAGCTATGCAGGGGTCATAGCCAACTTTTTAGATTGTCTGAATTAAGTTTGATTGAAGCCTGGACACTCTGAAATGATGTAATGAGGAGGCTTGTGTCCTGAAAGGGTGTTGGACCATTTCTATTGTGTCTTAATGGCTTTCCTGGTTTGGATCTTGAGCCAGGGCTGATCCTACCATTCTACCTAATTCTGCCTTTGTTCAAAATATCCTGTCTTGAATGGATTACCAAATCTGCATGTCTAAAAGCTGGCCTCTCTGCTTGGGGGACAGGGAACTGTGACTCTGAGTTTTTGTTTCCTTTAAGATTTCTATTTCTCTTTGAGGGGCAATATAATATTCTGCCTTTTTAAATATTTCTCAAAAGTGTTTCATTCTTTTAGGAGAGGGGTGGGTGCTAACTTTCTACAGTATCATTCTGATTTTCATGGAACTTTGCTTCTGGTGTCAAGAGATTAGAGAGTGATCCTTTGATTTAGGAAGTGGTTTGAGGAACAGATCTACTCTTTTGTAAGCATGATGAAAAACCAACGTGGCTCAATTTGGCTTTTTTAGCAAGTTTCCACATTACAGAGCTCTCGGTACCAATTATGCCGACCTTACCTGGTTTTACATCCAGTGGTAATCAAGGAGAGGATGGAACCAACATGTACAACACCAAGCCCAGAAAATAGAAATGGATAGTGAGAGGTTGTTTTTTCTTTTTCTTTCTTCTTTTGACAGCAAATGCAGCTGGATCCCCACAAGCTTGAAATCGGCGGAAAACTTGACCTCTTCAGCAGACCGCCAGCTCCCGGCGTCTTTCCTGGTTTCCATTATTCTCAAGATCTTGCCCGACCCCTCTTCTCCAGCACAGGTGAGGGAAAATCCCTGTTGATGCACACATGTCTATTCTGTTGCCAAAAATAAGGGGTGGGGGGCTAGATCAGGGGTCTCCAACCTTGGCAACTTTAAGACTTGTGGACTTCAACTCCCAGAGTTCCTCAGCGTTCTGACCCAGGCTTCCCCAAAAAGCAGTAAGCCGACTCGTTGTCCAGGCAAAACCCTTTTTATTAAATGAAGGTGAATTTCTTGCATTCACGTTCAGCCAAAGGCCTGGCAAACAGTCTTTCAAGCGTGTAATTAGGAGCACAGACCTTATCTAGCCTGGAGAGATGCCAAGGAAATATTTCCAATCGCAGTGCTGACAAGGAAGGGCTCAGCACAGTGTCTCTGAGACGCACAGACAGATCTTCACACCGCTGCAACGAACGAATGGTTTCTTGCAAAAGCCCCCTCCCCTTTTGCTCCTCCTTTAATCCCTATGGGAGGGGCCATTCACCATTCACCACCTGTGGCCTTACTCCCACATCAACCCTTAGTTCATAATAGCTCTTTCCTTTTGGCAGCTCAGGCTGAGAACCGTCTCCTGCTGCTCCTCCACCTCACTACTATCCAACTCCGAAGGCAGCTGATGACGGCCAGCCTGCCCTGGCCCCATCTCTGCCTCTTATGCAGAGCCCTTGTCCGAGCCTTCCTCAGCCTCCAGGACTGGCCCATGTTCCTCCCCAACCTCCTCACTGTCCGAGTCTGCCGCCAATTCCGCTAGCCGCCGGCGGGCCACAACACTCAGCCAGCAAAGCTTGGCTGAGGGACTCTGGGAGTTGAAGTCCACACGTCTTAAAAGTTGCCACGGTTGGAGACCCCTGCCCTAAATCAGCAGCCCTCAACCTTTTGGGGACCATGGACCGGTTCCGTGGAGAGAGATCTTTCCACGGACCAGAGAGGGCCTGGTTTGGTGTGTTGCCTGCATCCCATGAATGGGGCCTTGCTTGTTGGTGGGGCCCGTTTTCTGGCATGCCGTAGTTGGTGTTGGGCCATAGACCAGAGGTAGGGGACTTCCCTGCCCTAGATCCTTCAGGAAACGAATACAGCATCTTTAACGAGTTTGGCAGGTGTGTTCCTGATGCTCTAAAATATCTTCTCAGAATCAAATCCGAAGCCCCGTGTGGCTTATATATTATGCCTTTCCATCTGCGAATACCCAAAGCTGCACTGGGCAGTAAATCTCAATAAAGTTGGCTATCGTCAGAGAAGAGGTGGAAGGAACTTGGTTGACTCAATGGAAAGAGGCATAAATCTGTGGATTTCCAGCTTCTGAGGTTTCCTCCTGGCCTTGTTGAAGGAGAAGCCATGGAGAAGCCCAGCTTCTCCAGGCTGTAGACGTTGCCGCCAAAAGCATTAAGTTATCTCAGATTCCCTCGTCCCTGGGATGGATGTACAGCTGCAGGCAAACATTCAGTTTAATAGCTTCCACAGCTACATTCCTGGTTTTTACTCTGGAGGAAGCCTCTCCTTCCCCTTTCCTCCTCCTGACGATTATCAGCCCGGAGTCGTCAAGGCGCAAAGAGGTCTCCTTCCAAGAAATCACCTATTTGTGATGCACCTTCTGATATCCTAAAGGATTTACGGGGTGACAGCCTCCATCCATCTCAAAGTACGTCGATAACAATGGGTGCCATTCTCCAGGGCTGCTTTCAACACACACACACACACACAGAGAGAGAGAGAGAGAGAGAGAGAGAGAGAGAAATGATTTCTTCTTTGAGTTGTTGGGAACCAGTTCAGTCTCGATCACTGTTAGATCTGATGATGGAGAGACCATGTGGCAACAAGTCCGAAGGACGGCCTGATCCTTTCTCCAGCCTTCTCAAAATCCCTTCACAATCTGTTTTGACCAAGGCTTATTGAGACACTAACAAGCACACGTTAGTTCCAAAAAAAAACTTTTTTTTTTTTTACAAAATTTCAACGGCTGTGAATTAAAGTCAATCACAGCCCATAATGAGTCTCAAACAGTTCCACAGAAGTGTACCAATATCCTTCCCGATAAGCCCGCACCTTTATCTTCCTTGAAATGCTGCCAATGACTAAATTTCCAATTAGTTGTACGAGGCTAAGCAGAGCACAAATTCAACCCAGAGCTTCAGGTTTCAAACCGACGAGTACGAACAAAGTTGCTTCCTGCAAAGATTCCTGTCCCTTTGCTCCTCCTTTATGTCTTATGGGAGGGCCAATCACCTCCACGCCTTACTCCTGAGTCGCCCCTTTTGTCTTAACTGTTCTTGCCTTCTGGCAGCTCTGTGCACAAGCACACTGGGAACAGGCTCCCCTTGCTCCTCTGCCTCGCTGCTGCCAGACTCCAGAGGCTCTGAAGGCAGCACCCCACTCCCAGATGGCCTTGGCCCCATCTCTGTATCAGACACAGGACCCTCGTCCAAGTCCTCCCCAGACTCCAGACTGGCCCATATTCCTCCCCACTGTCCGACTCTGCTGCCGTCTCCGCAGGCTGCCGGTGGACCACGACAGAATCTTAGGAAGGGTTTTCAAGATGGATGGGGAGCGGGGCGGTGAAACAATGGCAGATAAGGTTCTTTCAGCAGGGGGATTGCTTTGTTATAATTCACTCTTGTAATGTTATATGGGAATGACCTTTGCAGACAAGAGTGAAGAGATGCTCTCTAGGGAATAGTCAGATAAGAGTCATCGGCAACCCGCAGCCTCTGGAGCCGCATGTGGCTCTTTCATCCCTCTGCTGCAGCTCCCTGTCACCAGCTGGTGCCACGATTTTGAGATTAGCTTCCGGTTAAGTGGTGGGGGGAGAGGAAGCACGGCGCTCCAGGAGGAGACTCTATGGCAAGGGACGGGTTTTCCGGTTCGCTCCACAATTGATAGGGCATTCGGTTAGGACAAGTAGAGGAAAAAGGACACCATGCTAGGAGGAGACTATGGTGTGGGAACCGGACTTTTGGTCAGCTCCAGAATTGAATGGGGGGCTTCTGCTTAGGACCTTTGTGGCTCTTTGAGTGTTTAAGGTTGCCGACCCCTGGTGTAGCCCACAATTTCATAATGGGTGGAGAGAGAGAGAGAGACTCAAAAGAGTCCCTACCTAGTTTCTTATCCTGTGAAAGAGGTGGCGATAACGCTTGTGAGAAGAACTTTGGGAGGTGAAGGGAGGAGATAGCTGCCTCTGGAACAATCAGATAAGAGACGGCATAGTCCTCAGCTGTATAATGGGCCAAGCAAGAAGCTCAGGAGGGACCCTCCCTAAGTTACCAGGCTGTAAAGACGATTCTCAGGTGCTGCTACAAGCTTATTTTGCGGTTGCTGTTGTTGTTGTTGCAGGATCTGCTCATCCAAACTCCGCTCCATTTGGATCCTCGCCTCATCATAGCAGCTTCCTGCCCACCAGCCATTTGGCAGGTAGGTGTAAGTACACCTTATTCTTCCGATTTACTAGCCTTTTGATATATGCCTTGACTTTTCCTACATCAGACCAGTGGTGGCGCAGTGGTGAGAATGCAGCAGGGCAGGCTAATTCTGCCAACTGCCAGCAGTTCGATTCCCCAGTTGATTCAGCCTTCCTTCCGAGGTCGGTAAAACGAGGACCCAGATCGTTGGGGGCAATAAGCTGACTCTGTAAACTGCTTAGAGAGGGCTGTAAAGCACTATTTAACGGATTAACAGAGTTGGAAGGGAATCTTGTAGGTCATCTAGTCCAACCCCCCACCCAAGCAGGAGACCCTACACCATTTCTGACAGTGGGCAGTCCAGTCTCTTCTTAAAAGCTTCCAGTGATGAAGCTCCCACAACTTCTGAAGGCAACTTCTGTTGATTGTCAGAAACTATATCCTACGAAGCAGTACATAAGTCTAAGTGCTGTTGCCATCAGGACCTGGGAAGGAAAAGGAAGACAGGTGTGCAGAAGGGTGGTGATAATTTTATCTACCTCGAAGAGCAATTCCTGCGTAACATTCCTGGGCTTGGAAAATATTATTTATAGATCAGGTTTAGAACAGAACAGAATACCAAATACAATTACCCTCTTAAAGCTAAAAAAAAAAACCAACAAGAACAACCTTCTTTCTAAATGAAACGGATTTATTTGCCATTGGGGGAAAAACCAGCAGTATCTGAAAATCTTGATCGTGTTTCTGAATCAACGTTTGAGTTCTCCCAAGGATTGGGGAGCGGGACACAGATTTGAAGAGGCGATGTGTCCCAACCTTTCAGCCCAAGTCTCTTTGGTAGATCACACCTTCTGCTTTAAACTGTGTTGGCTTCTTTGGGTGAGCCATTTAAGGACAAGCTAGGTGCACAGCAAATAGGAGGTCTTCAACTACCATTGCTAGTGAATGGTGAAGGACACAATAATTAATCCACAATCCTGAATCATTAAGGGAAGCTGTTGATGCAGCTTGTAAAAAAAAAAAAAACAACACACACACATCCATTTCAACCCAGCTGGTCGTTTAGCCAGAAGTATTCTTTGTGGATAAAGAATCTCTGTGATATAATTCACGGACTTTCATCAAGCGCGCCACGCCGGCCCTAACCATCTGGCCTGGCTTTAAAATTAAGCTTAGGAGAGACATCATTTTGGCCTAATTAAATTATTAATCGGTCTGTTTCCCAGAGAGAACCCGGTCTCCATTTCCACAAGCTCCCAATTTGTTATTCCGAGCCCGCCAAGCAAGGCTACGTTCATTGGAGTGGTGCGGTGGTCCTAGAGCGCCACAATCAGGAGGCTGTGAGTTCGATCCTAGGTAGAGGCAGATATTTCTGTCCCTGGGCTGCTGAACAAAACTCCACATTGGCAACAGGAAGGGTAGCCGGCCCTTCAAACAGTCTGCTAACTCCATTTCGTCGTCCAGACTCCTCTCCGCAAGGGATTATGGGGTCGTTTAATGAAGATGAAGCAAGGCTACCCTCAAAAACTAGAACATGAGTTTCAACCATCACTCCATCGCACACCTGTGTGTCTTGTTTGCGTTGCCCAAATAAGAATGTTTCCCTCTTTGGGAACCAAGGGGTCTTGGAACCAAGGGGTATCCGAATGACGAAAAAAAGCTTAAAACGATAGAGAATAGGTAGATGCTACAAGAACCCGGTTTTAATTCAAGAACGTGGTTTCCAGGTGATGCCGCTGTTCCTTGCCACCCCCAAATATCATTTGTAGGTTCTGTCCAATTCTTGCTCTGTGATTCAACCAAGACGATGAAGGAGAGGGCTGGGGAAGAGAGAAAGAATCGGTACAGGTAGTCCTCAACTTAACAAAAGCTCATCAAGTGACCATTCAAAGTCACAACGGCACTGAAAAAAGTGACTCGTGACCATTTTTCACACTTATGGCCATTGCAGTGTTCCCCATGTTCACCTGATCAAAATCAGATGAAGACTATCAGAGTTGGAAGAGACCTCGGAGGTCTTCTAGCCCAACCCCCCGGAGCTTGGCAACTGACTCGTATTTATCACGGTCGCAGTATCCTGCGACCGTGTGTTCCCCTTTTGGGACCTTCTGACGAGCGAAGTCAACGGGATAAACCAGAATCACTTCACAACCCTGTTACTTACTTCACAACGGCAGTGATCCACTTAACAAACCATGACAAGAACAGTCAAAAAAAGGGGGCAAAACTCGCTTAACAATTGTCTCACTTAGCAGTGGAAATTTTGGGCTCAACTGTGGTCGTAAGTTGAGGACTACATGTATTCCAAATGTCTCCATTAGGCCTTCTTGAGATCTTCTCATGAAGATCTCTGGTTGTTGGGCCCTCCATAACAGGGGTCTCCAACCTTGGCAACTTTAAGACTTACGGACTTCAACTCCCAGAATTCCTCAACCAGCAAAGCTCTGGGAGTTGAAGTCCACAAGTCTTAAAGTTGCCAGGTTTTCAGACCCCTGAGGAATTCTGGGAGTTGGGAGTCCACGATTGGCTGAGGAACTCTGGGAGTTGAAGTCCACAAGTCCTAAAATTGCCAAAGTTGGAGACCCCTGCTCCATAACACGTTCCCACCAGAAACTAGTTTCCACCTTCTTACTTTGCTCTCGCAAATCTGACCTTCTCAGATTCCATCTCGGTGGCCACCTTAGTCCTCCTGGCTCTTCGGCCTCAAACATTTGGTTTCTCCCTGGCACGCTGAACCTCCAGCACCTGTTTCCATGTTAGCAAGTTCTCCGACCCACTCTATGTTTTTAACCCGTCAAGAATGTTCTACGCAGAGGGCCCCGCCAGGGAGAAGGATTAGCTGAAAGCCTGGCCTTAATCCCACTTGGGATTCAAACCATGAAATAAAACAAATCAACAAGGGGGCGGGTAGGAAAAAAAAAAGGGGGTACATTTAGTTTTCCCTTGCATTCTTGGCTAAATGCCGGCTAAAACCCTGTTTGCCTTTCCAGATCCGTTTACAAGGTCAAGCACCTTCAGCGGCCTTGGAAATTTAAGCAGCAATGCCTTTGGCGGATTAGGCAGTCATACTTTGAGTAAGTACGGATGGGTTCCTCAGACTAGCTTCTTTCCCAGAGAAGAGAGCCATGTTCCTATCGAAAGCAACCGGTGGCCATTTGTTTGAAGCTTCTTAAAAACATCCCCCCAAAACAACGGACTGAGGCTACAAATATTCGTCCGTAGAGGACTTTCCCATAATTGATGTCCCAGGTCCATCAAGAATGGCGACTTCAGCTCACTTCTCCAGAGAAGGAGTGGGGGAGTCCAACAAAATTTATCCCTCCCCCTTTAACTATTCTTTGGGGAGGGGGGTGTTTCAAGTCCAAGGTTTGAGGAAGTAGTTCTTCAGGATCTACCATCTTACTGGAAGAACTGAAGAGAAAGTATCAGGAAGATCTCAAAGGGGCTTTTAACTGGACTTTCTGGGTTTTTTTCTTTGAAGTCGTTTTGCTTCTCACCCAGGAAGCTTCTCCAGTTCATGAACTGAATCGGTTCTCATCCAAGAACTGAAGAAGTTCCTTGGATGAGAAGTGAAACATCTTCAAAGAACAAAAAAAAAACACCAGAAAGTCCAGCTGCTTCTTGAGAAAAAGCACCTTTGGGACAACTATGACCTGGATGATTGAGAATCTCTATAGACGCATCAGGTAGATACCCATAGCACCCGTTAAATGGCATCACTGTAGAGCAGCGGTCACCCACTGGTGGGCCGTGAGAAAATTTTGGTGGGCCACAGAGAAATCTCACCCCCAGAGCACCCTCCCCCCCACAAAGCAATTAATCCAGGCTGCACCGAAACACAAGGCTGCTCAGCCCACATGGCCCGCAGGAACCCTCCCCA